AATTAACAAATATTACCCCGGCGGAGGTGTACAGCTGTTATTGCCAAGATGACACTGGTGTTGGCCGAACGTCAAAAGTCTCTGAACGGGAAAAGCAACGAGCACTCGTTAGCTGCCGGCACGCGGCATGGTCTCTGATCGAAGCCACCAGTTGCAAATTTCTCGCGAAAAAGAAAGGAGAGTGACTCGTAAGTCCGTAGCAGATCGCATCGCGATGCGCCGAGCTTCCTGGCTTTCGTGACCTGATCTGAGGCGGATTTGTCCTCTAGCAAGAAATAACAGCCAGCCTCTGGCATGGAGGCGTATCTGCGTGCTCGAGACAGGTCAGAGATGCATAAAAGGCAACAGCATGACTGAGACATTCCGTCATTCTCCCAGGTGTGCGGTATCTAACAGTGACTGGCCGCTCCGCACTAAGATTCTTTCCAGAAGGTCTATAGAATGCATGGCGTTTCCATCGCTAATTTCCACCCCACGAATGTCTTATCAGAGGTCACCATCATGCTGGCCACTTCATGGGGACGCCGAGATAGCGATTTAATGACTGCAAATTTCAGTAGATCTCTCTCTGTGGAACTTATAGGTGGTTACGTGGAAGCTGTAACGTCACGGGAGCAGCTGCCTTGGTGTGGTGGCCGTTGAACAGACAAAACGCTGTTTAAAATCATGTTAGACTAATTACGTAAAGATCAGCCGGAGATCTCTTGGATGATGATGATGATAAGTTTGACCCCGGACAAACCGTTTGATCGCAACTGACAAACATGTGAAGAGTAAGGTCTCTTGAACACCCAAGTACCTCTACGACATGATAGCATGTAGAGACTTTGTGCTCCGGCCTAAGGCTTTTTGCTCACAGACGTAGTAGTTGTAAGCGGCTCTTGAGAATCACAACTTCTGTGCAACGTCCCAGCTCACCTTCTACATGCGTACTCTACTGGCTTAGTCCAAGCTTGTATCATGTCTGTGTGGTGTTTCCAATGAGTGAATTCCTTCGGTCCGATCGAGATCGAGGTACCGAACCCAAACTTTGCAATAGCACGTTGATGCCACGGAGGGGAATTGGAATAGGTTAGAGGAATTGGTATCATGCGTGAAAAATGGAGCCCTCTAATGAAGATGGTACCTGTCTAGTTCTCCCCTGAAACCTTCGAGAACTGGAAGGCGGGTCCAACTAGGCCCGGGGAAACGCCCATTCGCTGATCACTTTAGTGTACCTGCGCAAGTGGTAGCTTTCGGACGGAGCAATGACATGTTAGGCATTAAGCGACACTTTACTCTCTGACCAAGACGTCTGGAATATGCCCCCCGAAAACGCCATGTGCGGTGAACCCCACGTGCGAGCGACAGTGTCCGAGACTATTGCGTCGGTAACTTGCGACCCGTGAAGACTTTGTCAAGCCCTCGTGGAACAGGTCCCTTGATAGTTTGGGGTTTTGTTCGTAGGCTCGGTAAGATACCCATATCGCACAGACGGCGAAGTTCCCATGAGGTGGACACCTTGTCCCTGACGTATTGATGCCTCTACGCTACTAAGTAGAGACTTTGACCTGATATTGTTAGGTAACATACTGCACAGAACGCTACTTCGGTCAGCCGGCTGCGGGGACGGAGATTCCTGCGGAGGGCGGCCTTGGATTCATAGAGCTTAGCTCAAAGGCCCGATTTCGATATTGCTCTGTAGTCTGCAAAGTTCCCTCACAACCCTCCTACAAGTGTTGGCATGAGACAGAGTTGTTTCGCCCCCAAATCCCAGTCGAGTGTTTAACGAGGCCTCGTTTCTGACCCGAAGACGCCGTTGGGGAAACCTGCGACCTGCAGTTGCAGGGTTGTTCATCATGCTAAGGATTCCGAGAGTGCGAGAGTGAGGGTCGGGAACAGCCAGAGACTGCAGGGTGCCTAGCGACTTCGTAGTTCCAGAATCACGTCAAAAGAATTCGTTCGTACCCTGGC